CTTTTTGTGCGCGAAATAAAAGTCTTTCTCATTTTTTGTTCGATCTAAATGGCGGAACACAGGCCGATGTCCATGCATGTAATTTTCTACATCTTAGCTTTGATTAATGGGCTGGTGCTATATCCGGATTTAGTACTTGTTAGAGATTTTTTTTTTCGGAAAAAAAAACAATTACTGGCCAAATGGTTTTTCTCGAGAGAAATCGGGATTAGGGAGATAATGACAAGCTTAAGGAACAAGCAATTAATATATTGTATTATTAGGGTGAAAATCATGAGAGAAGTCCAATAATTGATCTGTAATCTGAGATGGCCCTATAATTTAAAGTGAAATAAATTCAAAATTGGAGAACCAAGCACACGTTGCATGCAGCTTAATCAGAACCTTTGATTCCGTCATGTCAATGGGCGGGGCCCGAATTAGATGTCTACATCAAATCGATATGGACTATATATGCGATTTATTTAGCAATAACTTTATAAGAAATAATTGTTACATGCATGTCCGTTTATTTAAGAACCAACGGCTAGGATTTTCCTTTACCATTAAGTTCGTACGTTGGTGCACCACCCTGCTTTTCTAAGCACGCTGGTCGGGACGCAATAGAAAATACATAGGGTAGTGTTGATAGCTCGTGATACATTTGATTTGTGTGTATAAAAAGTACGAGTTAAAAATCAAGTCAATTGATTGCTCATTCGAGAAGATGGGAGCACTAAAATTTTCTGAAAAATCATCGATAAATCAGATCGAAAAACATTACATTATAAATTAAGATAGAGTCGTAGGTGCTCTCAAAATACGGCATTCTTATTTTACCTTGATCCGAAAGCAACGTTGCTTTCGATACAATATTGCGAGTCGTCTTGAATTTAACAAAAGAAATTTAAGATTACTGTATCACGCCTCCTAATAACTTGTACGAACTTTACGCGCGGGCTATTTTTGTGTAGAACAAACAAAATTAGGTAATAATGCGATGACTTTCGAATAATTATTTAATCGTTGTTTTCCGATGTTTGTGCACGAAAACGAATTATTGCCCATTAAAATATAATCTGCCTTTTTTGCCATAACCAAGGAAGAGGAGGAAGATCACGAAACCCTCTAGCATTACACGTGAAGCATGTCCAGAAAAGCCAAAGCTGAGTTCAAAAAAGCGACATATGTCCCGCAATTTTCACCAATGTCTTTTCGCCTTCACCTAACATCTCACCTAAAATTTTGGCTCTGAGCCTCTCTCTTTACGCATCGCTACCTTCATTGCATCGTGACTCTTGGAAGAAAAAGTTGTAAACCCTAGACGTTGTCGTTTCTTGCCAATAATGATGAGGGTGCGCTCCTTTCCTCAGCTTAATTTCACGGATTATTCGATTCAATACGAGGAATTAGAAGCAAGAACGTGAAAAAAAACGTGCATAGGTTTGCTTGATTCGAATAATAAGGGAACATAAAACTAGTTTAACCCTTGATTTATTGGCTAACTCTATATGTTTAGGGAATGAGACCGATCATTTAATTTCACGCCACCAGTTCGCCTAATTGTTTGATTTCTTCATCTTCATCTCATAGACCGAGATTATCATTTGATCTCTCAAGCCACCGTAACTTAGTTATTCTGATTCCGATATATTGAAGTCATGACACAATCTTCTTTCTCATGGATATGCAAAATTTGTTATTCAAATTAGGGCTGATCAATTTCCGGGCGGGTTCGATTTCCACCCCGAAACCAGGAACTATTCTAGAAGGACCGGTTTCCCGTCTCTGGAACCAAGAAGCTGATCATCTGATCCTGTGATGGGACTGGACCGGTTGTCCGATTCGGTTCTCTAACGGTCCAATGGATCCGATGATAATAAACGAAAGCACACACAACACACAGCTAGAATCCAAAATGGCCATTACCAAGCAAAAGTGCAGAGGTTTATGGAATTAGCACAACGACAGATGAGGACAATGAAAGCACGCACAGCACATAGCTAGAATCCAACAAGTCTCGTGAAAGTGAATGGCAAGAAACAGGAAATGCAACGTGAAAAACGGCAGAAAAAAAGCACTGGATATTACCTTGATGAGATGCAACAGACAAAGCAAGAGAGGGAAGGCGAGAGTCGAGAGTCGAGATGAGACCGTGAGAGGGAGGCGTCGAGCTTTCGCGAAAGGGACGCGACTCAGGTGAGAAAAGGTGGCGCTGTCTGAGAATCGAGCGAGAGGGACACGACTAAGGCAAGAGAGGGAAAGAGCAAGTCGTGAGAGGGGAGAGGATGACTCACGAGAAAGAGGCGTGACTGTAAGAGCCAAGAGGGACAGAAGAGGAGTGAGAGGCGATTAGGGTTTACACATGCTACAATCACAGTTGTTCTTTAAAAATTAAAAAATAAAAATCGGTCCGATTCTCATCCTTCCGATTCCCATTCTAGAACCGGGAATCGAACCGGTGCCCTCGAGAACCATCCAAAATTAATTGATTTGGTGTGGTCCAGATAGTTTTCGATTCGGATGGTTCCATACGCTTATCCCTAATTCGAATGACACCTCGCCATTTCAAAACCGAGCATTTTATTGTTAATTTGAATGGTGAAAATGTAACTTCGGAGTGACTATGCATGATGTGAGAAACTTCTCTTGCCATGATTGATTAATCATGAGGTGCTGTCGGGACATCACGCAGGAGGACAATGACATTTGGCTTAATGTCGTGCAAGGAAAGAGAAATCGAAAAATTCTTACATTAAGGCGATTAAGGCCCTCGTTTTTCCTTCTCGAATAAAATAAAAATGACTTATTCAAGTCGTACATGTTCTAATCATTTGCAGATAATCCTTCCTTGATTGCTTTTTTTAAAAACTAATATGAACCGGGTCTCGTAGAGAGTACGTGTTGTTGTATGCACCATGTACGAAAGAACCCTCGTCAAGAGATGCCACAAGAGAAATCTCGATTTGGCATATAATACTGTCGATCTATATGTTTTACTTAGCTATGAAATGTGCCATTTCTTTTATTTAAATTATGTCATTGTCAATGTTGATAAATTTCTTGATTCCTCTCTCTCCCTACCAATGATTTGAAAGTGACCTTGTTGCAATCTGTGTTTACCAGTGAAACTTTGGGGAGAGAGATGACAAATCATCATAGATGCAGATGTATATACTTATATTATTAGACAAAGCGAATTATGTATATATCAAGAATTTGTACAATCACGTGAGCTCTTACAAAAAGAGAACTCTTTTGATTCTTGAATTATCATTAGTTTGATGGTTCGGTCCTCCACACCACTCATAAAATGAGTAATTTAATATTATATGTTTCATAGAAAAAGAATCCATCATACAACTTTTTAGTATTTCCATTGGAAAACATTGCCATAGTTGACTTTTCTTATAGGGAAATAATTTTCCTATAGTTTTTTTTCCACGCCGTAAAATTCACAAATTCGCCGGCTAAGCAATGGTATAATTATTTTTTGAATGATGAAAGGGTAGGAAGGAACGATTAGCACTAGTGCCTTCTTTTGGGCGTTACCACGAGGGTCTCACACCCATTGCATAATTTTTTTTTTGTTTAAGTCATAACTACTCAGCACTACTTACAACCCAAAGATCAAAGATTAGTGAGCATGTTAGCTTTACTAAGGTGCTAGTAATTAGGAAAGTCTCTCCATATGATGTAAGTCGCAACTAGGTAATGCCACACAAGCAGTTCGAAAAATCTCTTCCGATGTACTCGGTAAAGAAGAATGTCCGTGAGAATACCTCTTCATTTTACCCAAACACCCTCCTGAACCTAGCAATAGCAAGAATACCCTCCTCAAAAGACAGCTTTCTTTTTAATCAAAACACTCCAATTCATTGCAATTATTGTAGCTGGGACCGTGAATGGTCAGATCAAATCTTTGCAAAAGTAACTCGTTGACAACCAGAAAGAGAGAGAGAGGACGAAGTTTCCCATAGACCAGCTCCAACTTTGGAATTCGTGAAAATAATTAAATAGCAAAAAAAAGAAAGAAAAGAGAAAGAAAGGGAAAAAGAAAAAGCGGGGTGGGAAGAAAAAAAAATAAAGCTTAGTTGTATTTTGCAGAGGGGGGCCAGCTATTCGATTCACTTTTTTCACGTAGTGGAATCACATTAGGACATGTTAGTGGGAACAAAAAAAACGAGGGTTTTCAAAAGTTTGATTTTTTGCACATAGAGAAATAGAATCGCGGGTTGGTGCTTTTTCAGGAGGGCCACTGGAGTATATACAACCATATGCTACCAAAAGGGATTCATGGCCTCCCTAACTCGAGTTAGTTGTAATGATGCAACTTTACATGTAGGCAAAGATTTGTGTTACATAGCTACTGCTGATGGACGGTGGAAGATGTCTTCTCGATTTCGTTCCGATAGGCAAGAACGATAATTGAATTAGGGTTAAGTGCCAAAGTGAGTTAGCTTAGCCGGCAAGGTTCGAACTCTCCGCACATCGTGCCCAGATTCGAATCCCGCTGCTGGTAGTACCCTTTGGTGGGCAACCTGCAAATCCACAAGGGGTAATATTCCCTCCTCCTAAACTTATTCATATGAAAAAAAGAAAAATTAGGGTTATGTTTTCGTTCATTTTTTGTGGGCATCGCCCATATTTGTAATGTATAAATCAGATGCGTGCTTGGAGGAAGGGGGCGGAGGAATGTATGGAGCATAGATCTATGCGAGGAGCCGATACTCGTAGTGCAGCTTTGATTGAGGGCCTTGATGAAGTAGAGGCTAATTACACCAATTTTAATAACGATATTATTAGCTTATCGTTTTTAGGATGACATGACTAATATACCCTCGTAAAAGACTAATCACATCGATTAACCTTGATAAAAGATTTCTGGAGATAATTACTAAAAATATTGAACTCTCTTGATCCTTCATTGAGAATATGCTTAAAGTTCTAGGATAGGCCTTCAGCTTCTTTAGAATATACACTACTTATTTCCACAAATTTCTTGATGAACAGATAAGAAGAAAATTAAGGGCCGGAAATAGCTATTCATGCAAGTTAATCTCTCGATATTATTCTCATCTACGACATGAACATCCTCTTCGTCGAAGAGGGTTTTGGTGCACGCCCACAAGCATTAACTCAAAATTAACTACATAAAATATCAAAGGCGAAAATTACTGAACAAGATTCTGTGCATGTGCATGGTTTATCTCAACCGTGCATTCACTTTTGTTTCCTCAACTCCCTGTAGAAATTCTCTATGAACTCCTCCGCCGCCTTGTCCACGCGATCGTCGTCCTCCTCCTCCTCCTTCAACGGGAACGGCGAGTCCGTGATCCTCAGCGGCCGCACCAGCGGGGTCCGGCCGAACCCCGGCAACATCGGCGACGCCTCCACCACCTCCCTCTGGCTGCTCAGCATCTCCATTATCGCCTTATCGAAGTTGAACGCGCCCACAACATCGTCGTCGTCTTTGGTCGGGGGCGGGTGGGCGCACATGAAGAGGTTGTGGAAGTGGTGGTTCAGCTGGCTGCCCTTACGCTTGTTGACGTAAAGGTTGGGGAGATGGTAAGGGAAGGCGGGGCTGTTGTTGCAGCTGAACTCGTACTCGAGCGGCCCCGCCGTGGCGGAGGAGGACGAGGAAGGGCCGTCGTGGGATCGGCGGCTGGCCGCGGCGGCGGCGTGGTGAGGGAACATGAGGTTGCCGATGGCCTTGCCGGCGATCTTGCCGCGCTTCATCATCATGTTGAGATCAGCCATGATTCTCCTCTTGGATATCTCTTTCCTCAGCATGTAGAACACCACGCGCACTATGCTCCATATTTTCTTTGCCGACAAGGGCAGATTATGTTCCATGTCTTTCTTCTGTGTGTGTGTTTGTGTGTCCGTGAGAGAGAGAGAGAGAGAGAGAGAGAGAGAGAGAGAGAGAGAGAGAGAGAGAGAGAGAGAGAGAGAGAGAGAGAGAGAGATGAAGCTTTTGTGTTGGGGAAGATGGGTAAAGAGTGGGGAAGAGAGAGGGGGGTATATAAAGAGGAGGGGTTAGGAGGAAGACGACGCAAAGTTAAAGTGGTGTGTGCGAACTCTTTTCTGTGTGAGATTAAAGCAAGTTCCATGTAACTCGAAATGGTGGTGGTGGGTGTGAATAGATATTTCGTTGGTTAAGTTAAGGGTCACTTTCACATGAATATAAATTCCCATCTGTTCAATAATTCGAGGGAGAAGGAAAGATCAGATCTTGGAAACCAAACAGTGGTCGTCGTGCTTGGGATGGCCAGTAGCATTCGTTTGAACTTTGACTGACACTACCACCTTTGCCTTTTTTGTTTCTTAATCGTTGTCTCCGTGCCTCGATGTCCGCGGCAGGAGGAAATCATGCCAAAACGAGAGACCCTTAGCAACGAAGGAAGAGCAAGAGCCATGGCGATCTGGAGACGTGGGCCTATGTGGCTGTGGCTTTGCTTGGGCTGGTCTCTCGCATCGCCTTTTTCGGGCTGAAGACTGGAATCTTCGTACGCCAAAATAAACAAAAGCTGCCTACTTGTCGAAGAAAGTGGTAGGGCTGAACAGCCCACGAGGCCTTTCTCTTACGCATCACGAGAGGAGGGGAGATTTGACCCTTTATTTGGCAAGAGCTGTTTTAAATTAAATGGAACTTGCCGCGGGGCGTACGAAGGTTCCTGTCCACTTCGATCGTCCCTCCAAGCGTACTTTAGGTTCTTAATTCTTTTTATTATCCCTAAGAAAACCCGTACTTAATTCTCATCGAGTTCATTTAATGGCTAAGGTACGAATGTATTTGGAGATTAGGCACATGACATGAAATTGGTTTTTTTCCATATATGTCCGTTTGTCTTGCATTTTACTTGGTCCATAAGGTTACTGCAGGATGTTTCAGGGGACCAAAGGTGACCTACAGTGTTGTGTGCGTTCCCTTGTTATCCGAAAACAAAAATACCTAACACTTTTGTGGATGACATTGTCAGGTAATTTACTTTTGTTGTCGATATACTTTATGAAATTAGGAAAGCGTAACTTTGTTATTTAGTAGAATAAATTATATGCGTATAAAACAAGAGCGATGCTAAGGGTATTAAGAAGTGTCACTTGGACTTGTTTATTTAGTGATTAGCATGATTAGATTTATGAGATTTCGTGAGATAACTGCTAACTGTTTTAAAAATTTAAGTTATTATACGAAGGTTTTAATATTTAAATATTCTATTACTCCACATCACATTTAGTTTGGTCTTTTTTTTCCTTAGTACTAAACATTGATATATTTAATTGGGGAGGCAATTGGGGCCTGGATATATTTGAATTCAGAACCTCCTGCTCTAATACCATGTGGGATTTTGTGGGATCATTGCCAACTTTTTTAAAAATTTAAACTGTTAGATGAAAACGTAATTTTAAATATTCTATCATGATTGAATGTAGAAACAAGTGGGACCAAACTATTAATCTATGTAACCACCCGCCTGGGTGGCGCTGCTGGAGCGCGCACTCTTCCTCTCGCAAAAGGTTGAGTGTTCGAATCCCGGGTGCCGCAGGGTGACTTAACCGGTGCACGTGTGTGGTGGCTAGCACGTGTCGCCCCCAGGGTTTACCTCCCGGCTGTCGGCCGTGCGGGAGTTCCCTGGGTCATCAAAAAAAAAAAACTATTAATCTATGTGAATAAGGTTTGTTGTGAAATTTTGTGGACAAATGTATTGACGGCTGAAATTTGATAAGTCATCAATGGAGACACTTTGTGGGTAGATTTGTGGGTAGATGATCTTCACTCCATATCAAGCGATTGTCTACCGCTATAATTTTGCGAGATCACTTAGGCCTTAATTCACTATCATGGAGGAAGTGAGAATGGATCCGATTGACTAGAAATGAAGGAGCAATAGTCCATTAATATGGTAACTTCTTGTATATAGAGCTATGTACAATTAAGATTTCAATTTGGCAATCTTTTACTAAAAGGGATATTTGCTGTAGTGAGTGCATTGTATGAGTTTATTACTCGTTTTAGATTGTCGCTATATTTTACAACCACGAAAAATACTAAACATACACTCAATTCCAAGGTGTTATCAAGCAAGAGAATCAAAGATTAACTCCTTCCAATCACATTCACCATCTATGCTTATCTTTCTTCTAATGTTTGAACAAGTACCAACCCTTTTTCTAGACCAATCCCTTAAGCTGGCAAAGAATTGAATATATGGAAGCACACGAAGAGAGTCTGAACAATAGTTGAGGAAAGCCTTCCCTTTATAAGCTGAGCAAAGCCCATGAAACATCAGCATCCCAATCTCCAGTCGATCCAGAAATCAAGTGATGCTGCAAAAATGGAATTCCGAACTGGTTTCGTATAATATTCAAAAGTGCAGCAGTAAATTAATGAAAGATCGAGAATGTTTAAGTCTGTAATTGACAAAGACTAATTCTTAATATATTCAGATTAGTGTTGTAGACTGACTTTGATTCCATTTTGATATTCTGACAGAACCTTTTCTCGATAATTCGGGGCCTATTTGTTTGGATTTAGATAAAACTAAAATGGACTTTTTAATCCATTTCCGCCAAAACTTACAATATTATTTGAGTTTGAGAAAACTACGAATAAATCGATATTTGCGAATTTACGTGTCAATAATTAAGTGTTGCGGAAGTTTAGTTTCTTTTTTTGTGAAATTTTTGTACTTAGTCCAAATTAGCAAAAACTGATATTGTTCGTTCAGTAGTCCAGTCAGAATTGACGTGGCAACTCACGTCATCAATTCCTTTTAACATTTGACAGAAGAACTTACTTGAAGAGATCGATTGTACATATTAAAGTCAAGGGACCTGATTGAAAATTCTAGAAAAGTTCAGGGATCGTTGACGCTTGATTCATGAAATTCCAATTCAATGAAGTTCACCACCAATCGTGAGAGAGAGAGAGAGAGAGAGAGAGAGAGAGAGAGAGAGAGAGAGAGAGAGAGAGAGAGATACTTAATTAAGAGTACAATAATATTCTTAATTTGATACAGCGACTAATATCGCAAAAGGGGTCAATAAACCAGATAGACAACCAGCTCCTAATCAAACAAAAAGGGCTAATACGAAATAAAGATCGAAATTAGTCACACTTACACAAGATGGGCAAAAAAAGGCACATCTGTAACCTTAAAGTACCATCAAGTATCTGCCCCATTTTTGACTAGTTGCAGGTCGATAACTCAACAAGGACAACAACCTCAAAAAACCTTTCATTCGGAAGGTAAACAACAAACGGCCTGTCCATCAAGTTATCGTATAGGTAGGGTTCAGCTGTTACAGGAGGACTCAACTTGTTAGCTTAAACACAAAAACCCTTACTAAATGGTGCACAAGGTTGATGAAATATGAAACCATATACACCAAAAATCCAAATCTTTGTAGCTATAGAGAGAGGTTCTGCTTTCTCGGAAGCACGTTCAGTTGGCCAGATTAAGGTCATTCAAGTCCTTGGTGATGGCGGGAATGCAGCTCGAGCTCCTCGTGATCATACTGACTCTCTTTTGACATTCCGGGTCCCTAGGGCTTAGAGATTTAGCCCTCACGGTGCTCTTCTTCAAGATCTCCCTCATGGCGTTGGCCTGGAACAACGCGGGGTACGCCCGGATCTTCTTGAACTTGGCGCACGCGCTCATGTGCGCCGTCAGCGCCTCGTCCCGCCTGCCGCCGTTCTTCTCCGCCTCCTCCTTCACCGCCTCGGCACACAGCCCGCATATCCACCTCCCCGAGAACCTCTTGCGCACCCGCTCGATGTACTCCAGCGTGCACTCCTCACTCATGCCACAGCACTCACACTTGGCATCCTCAACCTCAGATATCGGCGGGAGGGCCGCTGCCGACGTATTCAACTGATCCGCTGCTGCCTCTTTTATCAGCTCGAACGTTATGTCCGACTTGGTCCGGTGGAGGTTGTCGGTCGATAGCCTTGGCGGCTTGGAGAAGGCACCCAAGGCCTTGCTAGCAGGATTGGAGTAAGAGCTCACAATAGCCTCTCCATGTGGGGCCATGAGGGTCTAAAAATTTGGTGCGACGAGTTCGAGATGTTTTCTGAAATTATGTGGAAATCGATCGAGATCGATGAAACTAACCACGAAAAGGAGAGTGACTGTAATTGACGGCTAGAAGATCATTTCAAGTTGGGGAGTCACAAGTGCAATGTGCACATATTTATAGTGCGAGAGAGGCCTCTCTCCTAACATGAATCCGTGTGTTTGTGTGTGCGTGAATCGTTTTAGATATTGTATGGACCCTGATGAGTCCCGTGTCAGCTATCAACGACGCAGGAATCGCCGTGAACGGGATAGATTTTTCCGGAAAGAAACGGCTGAGAAAGAGCAAGTAGCTCCAACTTTTGTTTCAAAGTGTTGTCATCAATGAGAGAAGCAGTGCATTTATTTCCAAGAGAACACAAGCTAACTGTTTTTCTTTCTTTCTTTTTGGGCTTTGGGCTGATGATGGTGATGACGAAGACAGGGCGTTAACGTGAGTGTTAGCTGCACATTGCACAGTTTTCATATCTTTTCATGATCTTGTATTCTTTTCCTTCTCTTGTTCCTCTCTTTTTCTGTTGCTTTTGTTCGGAGGGAAGTGAAGAGAGAGATTGGGGAATAACAACTACGAGGGGGAAACATCTAATTACTTTGTTTTGCGTTTACAAGAGAGGTGGGAAATGGAAAGGAGGATCCAATACATGGAACATAATGTTTCTCGATCGAACTTCGAGTTTGGGCCCAAGTTTTTACTCAAACTCTCGCCAATAACCGAAAAAGTAAATGTCTATTGAGTTATTGCTGGTTATTAGAAAAGGATAACTGTTTTAAGATTGGATCGTATATTCTTCATGTCTTCATGCGCGTACTAAGCGAAATAAGTTTGCATTCAAATGCTCTAGCTGCGTGTATGTATACTTGTGGAGCACAACATGATTCAAGCTAATTACAGTGTGTATATATTTTCCTAATTAACATGATTATTATGCAGCAATTAGGCAACATCAATTGAAGTTAATTGTGAGGTCTGTAATTTTACTACTTAAAGCTGAGAAGTAGAAGATCTTAAGAAAAAGATATGCGGCTGTACATCGATAACATCTTAGGAGTCAAGTGTTCTTGCTAGTCACGAGAAAGAGATACGTCGTGAGAAGATAGGACCATATACGACAACGCATAGGTTCATGCTCGCGAGCGAAATACGTCCATATATTCATGTGTTTGTATATACATAACGTACTTAATTTCCTACTGTTATGTGGCCCATGATTCTGCTTGAAGCTAGACCAAGAAGACCTTAAAGAAAGAGACATCTTCCACGCAAAAGTAGAAGAACTTCACGTGTGGAACCAACGCAAACATAGACAGATGCACTTGAGATGCTGAAATCTCTTCTTCTTGTCTTCTTTTCTCTTCTTCTTTTCAATCTCGTAAAAGCATGAAAAGAAAGCGACTGCTCCGTAGCTCGCCCCCACAAACGATCGCCATGACTTCACGAGCTGCGAAATCGTATCGTGAGCCTGAACCTTCATGAATGAGCAAGAAAGGTGGTTGAGGTCATGTTGTCACGAGGAGGGGAGAGATAGTAATTACGAAAAGAAAGGATATGTGAGTTGTAGTTATCTTGCATGGTCGAAAGGCTGAGGAATTAGCTTTCGTTACGTGGGTGCTGTTGGACGACAATCACGAAACCCTAGCTTTCCTTATCAAGATGTTGTTTTAGTCTTGAGGAAATTATTTTTGAGGTCTTTTCGATCATTTCTTTTCCCTTTCTATTTTTAACTCGAAATTTTCAAGAAGAACCAAGAAATAAAATGTGTGAATGTTGGATGTCGGATGGGTGTTTGCGGTTTGGTTCGGAGAGATTTAGATGAATAAGAACGTATCACTTCTCGAATTGAGCATTTTTAACATTTGACTCCTCATCGACGAAATTACATTTTCGTAAGCACGCCTTGTACTGCTTACACTCGATAACTCATAGCATATTTGATTTGCATGAGACTGGAGGATTTCCACACTCAATAGAGATTAATCAGGTGATTGAAAAGTCCAAACACCGCATTACTAGTTAAAACCCAGCATGATACCCGGGCTTCGTCGCGGAATGAATTTTTATCATGAAAATCCCATTACTCTTTTATTTAATTGGACGTAAAAATGAACAATCACAAAATAGTAAGATTGTATTTCATTTGTCAATTAAAACACAAATCCAAATACATCATAATGACCTCATTTGAAATTTTGTTGAGCGAAATAATCCGAAATTGATGAAGTGTTTACCCGAAAGAATATAATATTATCCCCTCGTAATTTGATAAGTTTATAGTTTTTCAATAACATCATACAATCTAAATAGATCTTAATGACATCATAAAATTAAGATTAATAATAGATTGACAAATAATTGAAAAATGAAATGTATAAATTTAGGACATGATATATAGAAAAAGAAAAGAATCGAAATTATCCATTTATAATTCAGTTGGAAATCCTGTCCGTCCATCTCTTGATTGTCCAAAACTTTTGATACAAATGGCTTTGATTGGCTCCTTCCTTGTTTCACTTCTTGATCCCCTCCATTTTCTTCCATTATGCATCCGATGAGATTATATCCACATTTTGTGTTATTCCACTTGTAAGGTCATATTTATGCCCACATCTCGAATTTTATTGAAACGCAAAAATTAGCTGTTACCGTTAAGGCTTCGTTTATTTCACGTAAAATGAATGGACGAGAAATATTTTCGCCGTTCATGACAATATAAACATAAATTATTGTCGGTAATGAAATTTTTTTCATCGACTAATTATTTTAAACGATACAAATGATCGTTTTTAAAAAAATATATTTTCTAAATCATTCATTTTCTGCGAATCAAATGGAACCTATAACTCAAATCCCTTCGGGACATCTCGTAACCTACCCAAAAAAAATTGACCATTTCTCTCTCTCGACCTCATATCTCCCTCAGCCAACAGCTCCTTGCCGCCTCCGCCTAAATGGCGCCTCCAGCAGAGTGGACGCAAGACAGATTGAGACGGCGGAGCTCCGACGAAATCAGCGAAAGATGATGGCTAAGGAGGCAGCAACGCAAGACATCGCCGGGCACGTGCGGCGGCAGAGGTGGGGCTCCTAGCCTTAGGTTGAAGAAGAAAATCCTTTCGATCAGACTAGTTGCAATCTTGGAACGAGAGGGGATAAGAAATCATGAGCCATTGGGCTTGCAGTTCATGGAACGCATGGTTGCAGCCAGCGTTACACTTGCATGCAATCATGACTTCATGCGCCAACTCAACTACTCTCGATATGGGGCTAACATCAGTCCCACGCAATTCCTACGTTTCTTTTTTTCATTGGAACACGCGACACACGTAAACATCAGAAGAAAATGGCCATATCGAATTGCATACGGACATCACGACGACAGACGCGGTACGTCGAACCGTGTAAATCCCTCTTCCCCAGTTTTTTCTCCCAGTTTCTGACTATACAACACAACAATCTGGCTATCGTAGGACACCTTGCATGTTCTAGGCTAAAGTTGGATTTACCTTGTGGCTCGAGACACATGCTTCATTGCTGTTCTTGAGAGTGATACTACAAGCAAGAGGATGTAGACCTAGAGTAGTTCCTGGTTCGACACAATAGTGTACCGAATGTGCAAAAAATCCTGAAAACCTTCAATTGTTTCGCTTAGTTCAGTTGCAGTCGTCACTTTTCTACCTAAAACTCTATTCATCTCCAACTAGAACGAAAGCTACCTCCACGTCTATAGACGACAATGATAATTAACCACTTCCAAGCATAATATCCAGGTCCATTCATAACCAACTACACAGACATTGCAAAAGAGTCAACATCAACCGGGCGTCTACATGACGAACGTCTAAACAAGAGGACATATCAGTTCTAAGGTTTTCACAGACCGAAGGAGTTTAGAGTGGCGGTTACTAGATAAAGAGTCTTCTTCACGGCTTACATAGCCTTAACACCTTTAGCTTCTGCAACAAAAATCACACAAAAGACCAGTTGATGAACATAAAGCAGATGCAATGGGCATTCTCTTCTTCATTCATGACCTTCCACGCCACTGCCCTTTCATACGACACTGGTCGTCCCATGCTCGAGAGGCAGATCCCACCTTGAAGACAAGCGAAACCCTGCAAGAAAACTCAAGCAGCTTAGTTAGTAGAACCTACCGAGGTTTTAATAAGTCGACATATGCAGTAACCACTTTTCATAGAATAATGGTCAAGTTCAAATGCTATTGCAATTAATTACAACAAGATCACGTTGAAGCGGCTAAATAAAACAGAAATGTTGTCAAGAAGCAAAAAACCCAATTTAGGTGGCCTCTTTTGCATCTAGTCCTAGCTCTATGCCTTAGGAATATTTCTGGCTTGTCCTAAGTGATCCCATTTTGATCAGAAGCTTTTCCAAATAAATACTGTCTTGGGTTACAAGAATGTGGGAAGAAGTTACAGACCTGTTGCATGATTTGCGGGAACTCTGAACAGAGAGTCTTTCGGCCATGATCATCGAATATCTTTTCAAGGGTTATGTCTTGCAGCGCCACTAAGGTGGTTTCGAGCATGTCCAGACCTGCCTGATTCGCAAACGTGAATACGGGTAAGGCCTGCAATGAAGAGCGGTTTTAGAATATAGATCATATTGCAAAACGGAAAGTATGCCTGCATAGTACAAGAACAGCACAGAAACAACGTAATAGAGATAAACTACAGTATTCTCGCAGAATTGTAAAGTACACCATCCACTCGTAAGTCCATCTATATGAGATGCATTGTGAACAGTCACAAACAAGTTGTCCTCAAATTTAAGTTCACAAGACCGATGGCCTCAATTGAAATCTTTTGAAGGAGATCGTTGTTTTGGCAACAATTTTGAGAGGCGTAAATATTTTCAGTAGTAAAGGAACGATTTCCTCGTGGGTTATTTTTCGTAGATATCAATGGAAGAAGAGTGCACCTTAAGAGAGCAGCACATGATAGCATCTGAATGATGCCACAGGTTCTTGAGAATCGACTCACTTCCTTCATTGCTCGACTTGAGAAGATCCACCCCCAAGTAACACCTGCATTTTTCACAGATAACGTCCATCAGACACACAAGGTGGTGTAATAAATCACACATCAATCAGAATCGATGTCCAAACATAAGTTACCAGCTGTCTAAAATTAAAGTAACTTATATAACTGCCAACAATGAGAAAGCTGTAGTCCTTTACCTTTTCACTGGTCAATAAAGATCAACAGCATAAACGTGCATCAACAAAAGGCCAACACTCTTTCCTTAACACCTATTTTCTTAACGAAAGATTGTTTTACAAAGTAACTTCCGATGGCCTCGTGATTTTTTTTCCCTTTTTTTGGAGAACGTATCATGAGCCTCACACGTTATAAATAAAGATGAAAAGAGTGGCAGACCTATAACTGTGGCAAATCCAGCGAGCAAGTGTTTGGGCTTCAGGAGTGCCAAGAGGCGTACGCAGACCAGCATGTGAACCGAGATTTGATGGAGAGAGCGCTAGTGCCACTCTCTGCACCGACGATATTATGCTACGCACATATTGGCGAGCCATGGAGGCCACATGTTCCTGCATGTGGCTTTCAAATGCAAACTCAAATGCAATAGTCATCACTGATCTTGTACAGCCAGAATTAGCATTGATATCGTTGAAACTCCTATTTCCAGCCGGCCCGATCTCAAGAGAAGAAGCAAGGTCCAGCGTGCGATTAGGGCTAGAAGCTTCCTGCAGCGCAACACAATAATCAATGTGACAGAAAAGAAATTGCAGGAATCCAGGGTTAGTGTGAAGTGATCACCAATGTAGTAGTTTAAAGTGATGCCTTATAAAGTAAGTTTAAGCCTCACCTTTACTGAATCAAGAGGAATGATACGAAACCCAGAAGGAAGAAGAGGTGCATCATCAGCAAAGGAAGCATCAATTGGAGCAAATATCAATTCGGCAAAGGTTCCCACAGCATTTTCATCCACTCCACTGCACATCTGTAAAAAAAAAAGGCAAAAAGAGAGATTAACCAAAAACAGCTAGAAAAAGATGCCACACGTGCTTGTGCGCGCGCGCGCGAGAGAGAGAGAAAGAGAGAGAGAGCATACATCAGATGATTCTAGTCTCTACATTCACTTAACTAACAATGTTCAGTGGTTTGCATGAAAATGGTGACTGATCAAGCCAAAAATATTGCTTTTGCATTTAACAGAATAATCAAGAATATAAGCAAAGCAGAAATAATACTTACTTGCAGGAAGAATATATCTCTAGGCATTAGGGCATCTTCTGGAGAGTGGCCCATACCTTCCAATTTGATGACCTCCAAGAACTTAAAAAGCACAAGAGAAGATATGGATCAACTAAAAATAGATAATCACAATCGATTTGAACAAAATAAAAGGATGGTGCAAAAGGGTGTGTTGACACCTATTTTCTTAATCGCCCAATTAAATTATAGCCACATTTCCTCGCGAAAAGGGCGGTCGCGACAGGGTGTCAGATATAGTATTTAGCCATCCATCATACCTCTTCATGCTCAATAGTATGAGCAAGTGGAAGTATAACTTGACCCCCGAAACTCCCAATACGTGATCCAGGTAAAGCACAGGAACCAACTTTCACTGCTGCGGCTGAGTACGCATCGATACTGTTGTCAGCCCATTCTGACCTGTGCTCACGGAGGAAGCGAAGGAGGACTGCAGGAGGCACATTCTGAAAGGGAAAAAGATCAAGCCAGGACAATGAGATTAGAAATAGAGACATAATAGAGTAATCAAAACAAACGCTAAGGTAAGTCATTTAGAAAGAATGCTTCGACCCAAATTGAACTGGAAGGAACTTCCTAAAGGACATTCTTTTATTCTTCTATTTGTGGCCAGGGTTGGGGGGGGGGGGGGGGGGTGACTCTTTTCGGAATTTAACAACTAAATCATCAGGATGTAGGTCGCATACCATTTGCTCACACGGTCTATAGGATAACAAAAACGGGAGAGCGTCATTTACAGAAAAATCTATAAGCCATTCACTGCCCTAAAAACAATTTAGGAGCATGCCTTTCTAGAGAACAGATGGAAAGAGTAGTAGTTCCAGCGATACCCACAAAAATCAAAACTAACCTAAAAGATGACACCGAGTAGAATAGACTCCAAAGATTTGCCTATAAATCATACGTATATTCAGTTGGATCATGAATCCACATACATAGTGATTGCTTAGCAACACTTTTTCCTAGAATAACTAGTCAAAAAAAGACAATTAGCATCCGCACCTGTAAGAGCATAGAGGCCCTAGCACATAGAACAGCATTGCTCACAGCTGGGAATCCATTCGAAAACGAAAGATTCAATCCCATTAGCTTGTCAGGGGATGAATTGACGAGAATAGTGACATCATCAATGCCATCATTCCCCATGATCGACCATCCTTCATCAGTAAATCCATTAAGAGCCTCATTAAATCCCCTGCACATCATCATTTATCAGCTTAAAGAAGCAGCAAGAAACCATCAGCAATCAAATCAGGAGCTGAACTTTTGAAGATGCTTTTCACCTGCTTAACCTCTGGCTAAGAGCTCTAAGCGCTGCGGGTCGCCTTCCCCAGCCAGAAACATTAGGCTGTGCAATTTCCTGAGCTATCTGCCTCAGCTGTCGCAGAGCCTGATCTCATAGATGGGGAAAAAAGTGGATCAGAAAAACCCCTCCAGCTAATACGAAACTCAACGTGTTAAAGTTAACAGTTAATAGAACACTTAGAGATGCTAAAAGAAGTTGAGTCTAAACATAGCCATGAATCATGTCAACTTACCGCCATTGTCGTCTTCTGAGCAAGCATTGTGGAGGACTCATACAATGGGCGCAGTACTTCAGGCACACTCCATGGCTGTGAGATGCTCAAGTTAGTACTATTGAACAGCAAAATATACTTCAAGCAAGATCATTGAAGATACTTCACAATTTTTACCTCTAGATCCATGTGATCAACAATACGTATGATTGAACCACCACCTTCACATGGACGTACCAAGTAGCCACTTGGCAGCATCTCTGCTCGGACAAAAGGCTGTACCGGAGGCATGCTAGGACCGTTTTGAGTGTTTTTAAGTGACCTCTCACACACCTACATGTCATATTTATCGAGATAATGACAAGGATAGTTAACCAAATTTATAATAGACATGAGCAGCTGATATGGAAAAAGGTGTTTATATGACATCTGCAATTCAAAGAAAAGAAGTGGGGGAGAAAACAATATTTCCTGGTCTAAACAAAAAGACCAAACGCAAGCCAACAACTTTTTCACCAACATACCACGAGACTCCCATCTTCCAGAACAGAAGTATAACGCAGCAACCAGAAGTCACGAGCTGGCGCCAAGGTTGTTGGCGCATAGAGCTGCATAATGAATAGAACCATGAGAAACACACTACATTCTAGAGTAGCAAAACACTTCACACAGTGTATATTATCACCTGCATGTATAGCAGCTCAATGGTTCCACCATTGGCTGTCGGCAGCACGTTCAAAACATCCACGGCTCGACAGTCACGGAACCATGACGGTCGATCCTTTAGGATTTCTGCGACCTGAATCAGTTTCCAAGTCACATTTATGAACACATTTGAATGAGCTCCAAATACAAACTGGAGAGAACGGTTCTGAGATACTTACTCTTGTAGGTTCAAGACCCACGAGTCCGCATGCTCGTGCTGCCACGCCAGTGCAACCATGAGAAATAGCAACGATTCCAATGGAATCCGGACCAGGCTAAGCAAATTAACATAAATCTTTGTCAATTTTATCGCAAACACAACACCACTTTAGAAACGACAAAAACAAAAACAGCAGCTTGAATATTGCTGCAATCAAATAGAGCTCAAAAATAGACCGCATTTCCATGAAAATCAATTTTTACAACAAAGTAAAAAGCTCTCCAGGTATTATCTCAACGAAATTATTTATGCCAAAGACTTAAAAAGATAATAAGTCCAAAGATACCTTCATTCCAGGCATTTGGACCCACTCCACAGCGGTTCCAGTGGCCTTTGAAAGAAACTCTGCTAAAGTCTCTTCTGCAATGGACAAAAGCCTGCAAACACAATATTATTTAATTATTAAAAAAGATAAGGAAAGAACCAGGACGTTGTTTTTAACAGCGAAAGGAGACAAAAACAAAAGAATAGGATCAAAAGGGCATTTTAAATGACAGAAAGTGACACCACAACCACATCCCCACTAACCCTGCAGGACTAGCATCCCTTGGAGGATGCTGAGATGTCAACTGGTGTTGACCGCTCGTCACCACCGATTCACAGCTTGTGTCTTTGGTTGCAAGCGTCGTCTGTAAGAAACGATTTCACCACCGTGTCTCAATCCAAAATAGTCATATCACACAAAACACTCATGAAACTAACAAGAAACAAAACCCTTCTCATTTGCTAACTATCAGGATCGCTAAGCGAGAAACAAAGAACTCAAAATAAAGAAATGATCTTCCAATGCTGTAAATCCAATCTCCAACTATTTCACAGTGTTCAATAGGAGAGATATACAAAGGAAAAGAGAAAATACGTTCTGGGTGTGTTGACGGAAATAGCCATTCTCATACACCAGCTGAGAAACTTGCTTCTGCAACCTATCATTCTCCTCCATCAATAGCTTGTTCATTGCAGTGAGCTTCCTGTTCACAGCTTGCAAACGGGAAGCTTCTTTCCTCTGCTTCTCCCTGCATCTGCAATCGGCAAAAGCACACAGGTACCAGCATGTGACTTTCATATTGCTATAGGAAAATGCCTATTTGTACCAAGTCATTGTAATGGTTAACACTAACTTCGACAACATGCTTCACATTACTTATAACACTGAAGCGACTACTTAACACAGGGCACCGCTTCCAAAAATCGACGAAAGAACAGACTTTCAGCGGTTACTCTTCGAGCCTTTACCAACCAATATTTAATAAAGCAATGAGGACACAACACCCTTCAACTACAAGAAAGAAGAAAAACAACGGAACTTCGTGAACTGACACAAGCTTGCCATGTTTTCTTGCTGCAAAAAAAGCAACTTCGCACTATGACAGAAACCCAAAAAAGAAAGGGACATGGACATACCTTCTGTTCTGGAACCAGACCTTGATTTGCTTGGGCTCAATGTTGGAGAGAATGGGACACTCCCTGATCAGCTGTTGGCGACGGAGTGAACTGGGCTTCGGACACTCGTGGTAGAGCCTCTCAAGGGCCTCAACCTGCTCAGGCGTGTACCTCACATATTTTCCATTGTCCAAGCTATTGCTACTGTTGCTGTGCCCGAGTTTACCTTCCTTGCAGGATGTTGCCATCTCCAGAAATATTCAATTCAATCACCCTCACTTTCCGGGAAAAATTCTCACTTTCCAGGAAAAAGAACCGCAGAACTTCTCAAGAAATAGTCCACGGTGCGTGACCCCAAAGCACCCTCCTTTTCTTTTCTCGACTCTTTAGAGCTCTCACCCACATGCAAAATGCGAAATACCCAAGATTTCAGTGCAATCTTGAGAACTGCTTGATACAAACAACAAAACAAATATTGTCCCCGGTCTAATTACGCAGTCTCATCCCTTGTTGTCCCATTGAGAAGCATCACCGAACACAAGACGAACAGTGAAAAATCCCTCTCTAGAGATCAGCGCTTCTTCAACCTAATACCTTTCACAATCGCAAGCTTCATACATAACACCGACACCCTTTTGTCTATTATTCAAGAATCGGAGCTCAACTCTTCAGGGTCACATGATCCGAGCGAGTCAACGAGTCAACTCAGCGGCGAGTCTTGGGTATGCATAAAGTTGCGAACTTCGCTCACACCCAGATCCAAATTTCAGCTCCAGGAGAAACAAATGGCTGAAGAAGAAGCCGCAACAGAAGCTTTTCTCTTCTCCTTCTCACCGATCTCCATCGCGCCAATAAAGATTCTTCCGAGTCCACTGTTCATCTGCTCGTCCACACATCTTTAATGGGGGGGCGGGGGGTTTCACGGAAAGGATATAAAATCCAAAAACTTCCAAGCAAGACCCATTAAATGAGGAGAGAGGGAGGGAGAGGGAGACAGAGGGAGAGATGATGGTTTGGGTTGGGAGAGAAGTTTGGAGTCAAAAACAGGAGATCTCAGATATGGTGATAATTATTCCCTGCCCCTGCAAAATGGAGAAAAAGCACTACAATCCATTGAATTTGAGTAAAGAGAGTTGGGGAGAGGGAGAGAGAGAGAGAGAGAGAGAGAGACGATAAAAGAGACCAAAAGAAAGGCTTTGTTATTTGCACAAGAAAGTGGTTCTACTTTGGTTTTTGCTATACCCTCTTCTGCTCTGTGCGCGCTCGTGCTTTCATTGGTTCGTCACTTTCGGCTCAGAACAAGGTCCGTTGCAAAAAAAAAAAAATTCTATTATTTTTGAACACAACAGTGTCTCTCTCACTTCACTGTGTGCAGCAGCAGCAACAACAGAACAGAGCAACAAACTATATGAGTGTGTTATTCTTCCTATCTGTGGTTTGTATTTCAAAAATCATTAAATGAGGATCTCTGTCCAGTGAGGTGAGGCGTGAGGTCCAGTAATGCCCTCCAAGACAGACAAGGATAAAAGATATTCCTGCAAAAAGTCAAATCTTTGAGGTATTAGACCACATTTGTCCCTGTCTCTCTCTCTCTTTGCGGGTCAATCTTTGTGAACTGTGCTAGTGTAATCTTTCATGATTTTGTACTCCAGAGAAAAAAAAGTTAATCTCTGCGCAAATCTATCTAGTAGGGCAATTAATGCAGCATTGCAAGAACTTGCCAAAGGATTCATAGAATAACTTCTTTTTGTTTTCGTCCTTCTAGGATTTGGAAACAAAAAATGCGGGAAAAAGGGATCTCTGGAAATAGTATCTATTGCAATGAGACGAGAATCCAATACGAGATGCATTTGGATTAAGTTCATCATTTGCTATGTTAAATAGAGTTGAGATGCTCATCAACACAAGTACCTAAACATGAGCTGATAACGAGCAAGAATGAGAGCAATACATATACTTGGTTTCCTGATAGTAACATCCTAGAGTAGAAGAACATCAAGAGAATCCACCAATTTTTTTTTTTTTGGGGGGGGGGGGGATTTTGGGAATTGGAAAAACAAAGCTAAGGAAGTGAAAGATTAACTAATTATCCATTAAAATCACTGTCAAGAAACTGAGGATGCACGTAACAAAAAATGTCCTCTTTGTCTGGTGAATCCAGAACCTGCTAAACCAGGCCTTGCCCAAAAGATCCCAAAATGCCAAATTCGAAAACTGTGATTTGGATATGGAACTATCGTTTCCCTACAACTATTCTTGGACCTTCCCATTCATGGCAACACTGTCCATCAAAAAATTTTACCCCAACAAGGCCACTTCCCCTCGAATGGCATGCTGGTAAGTAACAGCAATCAAAAGGGGCAATTCGAGAAACGGAGCGCTTGCATCAGAAACTTATAAATTACTCTTTTATAGAGCACGAGAGAGAAAGAAAGAGAGAGAGAGAGGCCTGGCGTGGGACACAGAGAACACCATCATGAGTTATCTTGCATGCGTCTCGGATTTTAAAGCTGAAAAACCCCCATAAAGAAAGAGAGGAAAAGAGAAAACTCATTTCTTTTGAATTTATTTGTTCCTGGCTCGGGAGGCTACGTCATGATCACACACCCCCTTCCATATCCGTATGCTGCTGCACCACCCCCCCCCCCCCCCCCATTCGCATATACCTACGCTCACGTACGTATACACATGTCATATGTGTATATAATATATAAAGTATTATATATATATATATATATATATATATAGAATTCCCCCTCCAGTGACAGGACATGATGAGACGTGAAAACGAAAGGGGTGGGTGTGTGATGTAATAGATATTGTAAGATTGTAGGGACAAGGAGAGGTGTTAGCTGGACACTTATCGTTGGATTTTTCTGATTGGGCTTTCATCAGGGGGGGGGGGGGGGGGAGGGGGAAGTGAGTCATTCGCCGGATGGGGCCGTGATTTGCGAGGCAGATTTGACACCTAATCTTAGAATTCACAGCACAGAGTGTGTGAAGTCACGGCTTTTACAGTGCTGGAAGAGTGGGGTTGGTTTCCTTTGCTTCCTCATTTTCTTTCTTGCCTTCTTCTTGTTCCCCTGATTTTTTTTTTTCCCACGTTCCACTTCTTGCTCGTGAAAATCTCACCACTCTCGTGCGCCTCGAATTTGTTGTGATATGCAAATATTACGCATTATCAAATCCTTGGACTTGTATGATCTATTAACTTTAATGAGATTGCGAGCGTGTGTATATACAGATAGATTCCGGCCGGAATGAAAGATGACTAAGAGTGCAACATACTTGTTTCGCAAAAAAAAAGGATGAAACATCTTTCAAGTGTAACGAGAGAACCAACAAAGGGTTTGAAGGATCATTTGTTGATTTTAGACAAGATGTTAAATGATGAGATATTAAGGTACGAACAATTGGAACGATTGTTGCCAACGGTACAAGTTAAATTTACCGACTTTTCCTCCGGTTCTTGACCATTTATCGTTGAAAGTGTTCTTGTCGACTAGCTGCACTGTATCGACTAATTGTTCTCGGCATAACTATTTCCCGCTCCTCTCGTAACTCTGACAGGTGCATGTTGATTGAACCATCAACTACAACACTTTGACAAATTTCTACGTCAACGATACTTAATTTTTATGCTAAATTATTTGAGGTTAATTTTTTTTTTCCTTCAGTAACGTTGTTAATTATAAGCATGTAATGCCAGGGTGACAGTTTTTTATGTTAAAAAATGAAAAGGAGAAATAAATAGCTCTAAAGCTTTCGACATCATTAGAAAAAGGAAAAAGGTCAAAAAAGAAGAGGATGAAAAGTCGCAAATGACTAAAATAATTACGAAACAAACAGTTAGAATTCGAGGTGACACGAAAAACACCATTACATGAAGCGAGGAGATTAGCAAAATCACTTAGAAGATTAAGAATAAATTTATTAAGAGAGACACTGTAGATTGCATTTGATGATTGGGGTACAAGTCAAATAAGATGTAAATTGTCTTCTCTAGCATATAGCGACCGCACTGGAGGGCTTGATTAGCATCATCGGGAATGCAATAATTGTCCAAGAAGTATTAAATTTATTAGACAGCGATTAATTCAATTTTAAATCTTTTAACTATATAATTTTTAATTCTAAATATTTTCACGACTTGTTAATATAGTTCTAAACCTTTAAATTGTGCTAATTTAGTTATAAACTTTCAACAATTTACCAATTTAATCCAAAACATTCTGATGATTTGTCAATTTAGTCATTCCGATCAATTTTAACTTAAAAATCACTGACTTGAATGTCAGCCGTCCTACGGTCAATGCCGATGTGAAAATTTTCCAACTATGGACCGCGATGTCGAAAAGATAAAAAAAAAAATCAGAATTTGTTTTTAAAAATTACAAAAAAGTCTACATTAGCTTTGATTTTTCTTGTCCACGTCGGCGCTGGCCATGTCATGTATGACGGTCAATGCTAGCTAGATTGCCACATCAGTAAGTTCTAGCCAAAATTGGACGAAATGATTAAGTTGATAAATTATCAAAAGGTTTAGAACTAAACCGGTTTAAATTTTCAAAAATGTTTAGGACTGAGTTGAATAACGCGTGGCGTTGAATTTTGAAAATTGAGGCGGAAGGAAGTTGCGAAAAGGAGGGGGCCAAAAAAAGAAGAAGAGAGAGAGAGGAAAAACACTCGATGGTATGTAATTATTGTGTCAAATTACCTCCTCCCCTTTCTTTCTCTTTGTAATCTGTCGTTGGCCACCACCAAATCACGAACGATACGGCGACAATTAGGCGACCCTCGTCAATTGCCCCCCACAAAACACAAAACGACAAACCTCTTTTTTTGTCACACACGAAACGACAATTGAAATGCCATCCGTAAAAAGTGCACTACATGATACATACAAACATACACACACATATATATATATATATATATATATATATATATATAAGGTTTAATAGGACGAAAAATCCTAAATTAGTGCACACATGATAAATTTATCCCAAATTAATTATTTAATTGTCAAAAACTCTAAATTGGTACATTTGTGATCAATTTACTCTCCGTTGATTTAGATTAATACCACGAAAAATAATAAATTGATATACCCAAGGTAAAATTCAAAATCAGTACACCTGTCAACTGCCACGTGTTATCCAACTCAGAAATTTGATGGTAAAATGAAACGAAAACTCACGGAGGGTAAAATTGTCACGAGCGTACCAGTTTGCGATTTTTGATATTCAAAAAATTAATTTATGATAAATTTATCATAGATATATTAATTTAGAATTTTTCATAGTATTAACTCTATATATATAATTACCCCGAAAACGAAAGATGGAAAGTGCAATTTTAGCACGAGCTTTAGCTCCGTCGAACGAGAGAGGACGATTTGAAGAGGGGGAGGCGCGGCACTCGAAAGGGCAAGTTCGTAGGCACCTCGGAGAGCAATGATGACCATCGCCCCCTTAAAATAAGAACACCCCAATTCCCAATGAACTCCAGCTTTCTTTCCTTCTTCCTTTTTTTTTTTTTGTATTCATCGATAAAATTTAAAGTATATTGGTGATAATGTGTTGGTGGTCCGAGGAAAGTGTGACCAGCCCGGTCACGTCCCCGTAATGTGAGGTTCGGATCGACCAGAATCTGCCCATTGAGGTCGGGAGATTTCGGGAGGACAAAGTCTACATGATTCCCGGACATACATTTTAGTCTTTTGTCTATTGTTCATCCCAAGGTAACGTGCACGAACGTGGTGGTTGGTTATGGGGGGAGAGGTGTTTGGGCCTAGAGGGAGGCCCGCCTTGGCTGTCCCTGTGGGCCTTGTGGCCCATATGGGCTTTCGCCCCGGCCGCGGGACGGCGTACAGAATGCCCAATTCGCAGCCGAGATGGGAGCCAAATGCCGCCCTCGTATGACCATGTCTTCTTAGGATCGGTCGATTGGCCGGTCGATTCGGAGTTAACACTCCGCTGCGAAACCGAGCCCTCGGGCCGTTGCGCCCTCTCTCTCTCTCTCTCTGTCGGTGGATGTCAAATTACAGAGTGTATTTGCGTGAGGCACCTTGTGTGAACAGCAACCTTAGAGAAAGATGAGGGCAACCTGTTCAGACGAAACCCGCTGATCTTGACCCCCTTTTGGTACGAGAAGAGGAAAAAAACAAGGGTTAGATCTTCTGCCGTTGTTGCCTAGATGCTAGAGCAGGCATCTACGCCATCATCGTAAGCTGTAGCGTTTGTCCAGAAGCGCAGCTATATGTCAACCTCTGTTGTCAAAAGACTAAAATTGAGCAAATGATCTGATTTGCAATCCAGACTTCTTCACATTTTCACTTTTATTTGTACCTTTATTCTATTCAATTTAGCTTCAACAAATGAGCAGAAGTCACTTTAGAATAAAAGTTGTGCTCTTCGACCTTTATACCTTTACTAATTCTTTAATCAAGTCCATCTACTTTCCATTTTTTCGATCTTTCTATTAGGCATTCTATTTGCGAGAAATGTCTAATGAAGTCCTCCCCGCACAAAATCCGACTAAATCTAATTGGCGTGACTATTGGAGGTTGCCAGAACGTAATAAGGATTAAATGTTATCTACATGGAAACCCAATATGGATGGTGAATGGTCATGAAAAAGGAAAAAATAAAATAAAAATTTATCCATTCAATTTCCACGCTCCTCGGATGTCCACGTAGACAACAATTAATCCACTTGAGCTCCAGCATACTTCGATGACCACATTGGTTGAATTTAGTCGAATTTTGTGTGTCGAGATTTGGTTACATAATTTGTGTAAGTGAAAGAGTCTTACTCATAAAATTTCTAAGTAGGGGAATTCGAATTTTCGTCGTTTAAAAAGGATTCTTGCTTTTATTTTCCTAGATAGACATCAACTATCAAGAGGCTAGTGACTTGAGCACGGGTACTGCGGTTCCAAACTTAACTTCCGCGAAACCAAGTCTAGCCTTGGTGGACCCAAGATTGGGCACTGGTCATGGGTCCACGGAAGTTGAGCTCGAGATCTCGGTGCTTGTGTTTGGCTCCTCGGCATTTGGGCCAGAGACCTCGATGCTTGCGCCTTGTTTCATGGAGGTTAAGCCTGGGACCCTGGTGCTTGAACCTGGGCCTAGATGCAGGGCAAGGTCTATGGAGGCTAGGCTCGAGACTCGGTGATTGTGCTCGAATCCTTGGTGCTCGAGCTCGGGTTCACAAAGGCTAGGCTGTTAGGAGTGCGTAGCAGAAATCCGATACTTACACCTGGGGAGATCGTCAAGAGAGAGCACAAATCCGAGTCCGCCAACATATCCGATTGGATTCACTTTTACTCAAAAGCTTAAGCCAATGAGTTATGGGCAATCTATGATATATTAACTGCTCGACATCACATCAATTATTCGATGTGAGACTTTTCTAACACAACTCACACATGTATCTCAATAATTTCCTCCTCACATGTGAGCTCAGTGTTAAGTTTTGCTCCCCTTAATTTAGGTATTCTTCTACATCAGTTTATCTCAACTTGAATCTCCAATTCATTGCAATGCACCCGCAAATATGCACGACAGCCATCATCAACTGCTAACTTGGGATTGCATCACCCGCGGTCTCTATCTTGTATCACCAGACCAATTGTCCATGGTCACTTCTCGCCAAACCAACCGTGATCAAAACAAGAGTCGATCATGAGATTTCTTTGTTGAGATATTCACCAAACATCGAAACAGATTGGGGGCCCACCAATCAACCATCGGCTCTGATACCAATTGTTGTGTGGAAGAGCACCCTAATTTTTTTCGCTGAACCACATAAATCTCAATGCTCAGATTATTCTTGTTTCATCTCATCTAGTTAGGGTGCTCTTCCGTACAACATAGGCACTAGGCATGAGTCCTCGGTGCTCGGGCTTAGGATCCCGAAAGTGTTCGACACTCGAGCTCGATAGACCTAAGCCTGGGTGTTAGGGATTTGGGCATAGGCACGGGGTCCTGGGCTCGACCTCGATGGATCTGGGCATTGGCACCAACGACCAGCCCTCGACGTCAGAGACATGGGCCTAAGCACTAGGGTCCTAAGTCCCAGCCTCTATGGACCCAAGCCTGGCCTTGATAGACTCGAGCTCAGGCTCGGGTGTTAGGGATTCGAGGCATAGGCACCAAGATCTCGAGCTGGGCCGCCTAGTCACTGGAGATCTGAGCCCGGTCTCTTTGGTCTAGGGCCTAGTTTTGATAGATTCGGTAATAGGCGTTGGGGTTTTCGTGCTCAAGTTTAGAATTTTTTACTGATTTAATTTTTGAAGTAATTCGAAGGTTAAAAAATGTTTTTTTTTTTTTAAATTGAGTGACCAAAACCTATAGGAGGATGTCTATAAAGACAAATTTACCTAGTGGAATGTGCGTCATATCATCGTTTACCCCCATGCCTTTCTGTTTCTTTCGGGTCAAAGCAAATTGCCCGAGGCAATCGATTCCAATTGTCCTGTGCACTCACGGGCGTTCCCCGTTTGCCTCCAAATCACCACATCTTGCCACGTGTCGCGCTGCCCATTGGCGGGATCGACCGTGGGCCCGGGAGTTGCCGCTTCCTGAATTTTGATTATTTTTTGAAATTTATTGACATTTTTTCCCCTGGAAAACAGGAATTTCAACAAGAAGGGAAAATTTACTCATCTTCTCATGCCCAATTTACATGGTACGTAAGATCTACAGCAGAACACCATGAATCTGTGATTTTCACCCCACTACAACTAAAATCAGTTCCAATTCAGCGACTAATGGTAAGTACATAATGGCTGCTAGTTCGTCAAAAAATCGAAGGCTATCGTCTTAAACTCGTGATTATTATAATATCACACTTTCTTCGGATTTTTCGAAACGTTTAAAAGCTCGTAGATTAGGGGTAGGTAATTAGCTAATACATCTCTATTTCTCATGTGACTGAGATGATATTCCACATGATATTGAATAGTTGGTTGACATGAGATCGTGTCGTATTATGGTACCGGATGTGTTTTCAATTTCAAAGTACTTATCATTATTATTTTCTTCTTTTCTTTATCATGCTGAGCATATAAATATTTTGAAACGTTTAATCCTACATCTTATACACGGGTATTGTGTGACATTCCATTCACCAAGTCGAGATTGCGACTTATTTTGAGTGTGTCATATTACGATTTGAAATGAGGTCGGAGTTCATGTCGCGTCCCTCCGGCCACTACAATCAATCGTGACCTCCACCACCCCACATTTGTCGCTAGTCTCGACGATGTATAACCTCATCCCTCCCTCCCTCTCTCTCTCTCTCTCTCTAGAGGGGGAAAGGGTTGGTTTAGGGAATTTTTTTTTTATCTCATTTCTCTTTTTTATGTACATTTGTGTGCAGTATTCATGGAGATTGAACCCCGGATATGATATTCTTCGTCCTACCCTTCAATCCCTTTACCAGCAAGACCACATGCCTGTTAGCGGTTAAGGGATTTAATCGAGTGTTGGCGAGCGTCAAATGAAATGGGATGCGTGTCGGCACAACATATGGTACTAGAGTAGGAGATGAATATGTTTCTTTTCATTACTATAAGAAGCAAATACCTTTTACTTGTTCAAAAAAAAAAAGGGCGAGCATTGCATGAACTCATTCTGTCGTGTCAAGCCAATCGTATTTCCTTAATTTGTAAAATTCACATCGTGTCACGACCTAGCACTCGTTGCACGTATTTGGATCATTATGCTTAGTGCGTGATCCGTTAGATCATAAGGATCTCAAGTAAGGTCCACACAATCTAAGGGATCCTTTACATTAGGCACGTATGATCAATGTGCAATCAGAAATTTCTTGTGGGTCTCGCTAAAAAAAATTAAGTTGTCATGTAATTCTTAAATTGTAATTAATTTAGTCCATCATATAACCATGAACTAAATTTTACAGAATTTTGTTTTTCAAACGAGACATTTGCCCTTCTTTGCACCGATTTGTGTGTACAAAAGTCTTACAATGAAATGTAAAGTAAACAGGAGTTGCTGCCTCAGCCAAGTCTTTGCCCTTCTTTTAAACACTCGCCAACTCCGTCTTTCTCACTCTCACTCTTTCTCTCCCTCAAAAACACAGTCGCACACACAACAGAGTCTCTGCACCACCATTTTTTCTTCACGGAGAGAGAGAGAGAGAGAGAGAGAGAGAGAGATGTTCAACGGACAGAAGCCGCGGCAACCAGAGGCGGCGCTGCAGCTGCCGGAGACGAAAGTGGCGGCCGATCACCGAGGCGCGACAATGAACGGGTCCCCCGAGGTGGCGGCGGCGCCACGCCCGAAAGCCGCTCGCCGGAACGCCGACGCCATGCACGTGATCCTGAGGGCGATGTGCATGGCGGCTTCTTTGACGGCGTTCTCGTTCATGGTCACCGCCAAGCAGCACAGCGTTCTCGTCATCTACGGCTTTCAGTTCCCCGTTCACTCCAAATGGTCCTTCTCTAACTCCTTCGAGTACGCCCCTCTCTCTCCCTCGTTCTTTATTGCGAGTATCCATGTTAGTATAATGAGTGAAAGTTTTGGATTTTCGCTAAATAATTCAAGTTCAAGAAACATGATGGGAAATTATTCTACTCCAGCATCACTAAATGAAGCTTAGTACATTACCGCATGCGAAGAAAGAAATCATGGGTGGTCCATATCCTTTGCATATGGGTTCAGTTGTAGGTCACTGATCTTTCTTTAATCTAATGCAAAGAATCTAAACAACATTGATTTTAAGCAACATCTTCTCCAAGATCAAACTTATCAATAGTCATACACTGGAGTCTCGGTTGAGTTTTGTCTCACTTTTCAGTCTTCTTGGCAAGATGTCTCGATCACCGTCCGAAGCCACTGCTACTTATGTCCAAAATGCAACTGTTCTTGTAAACTTCTCTCTCTTTTGTTTTTTGAACCGGGATCCTGCGAGGAAACTGACCGGCTGAACCGGAGAAATTTGTCCTGCTTCGTTTTGTCATGTTGTGACTTGTGAAGCTTTGGAGAAACGTAGTCCTTAAGAACAAAGGTGTGAAGGAATAGCAAAGAGAACCCGTGAGCAAGGAGCATCTACCTCAGGACATCTTGTCCTCTTTCTGAAAAGAACAAAAGAACAAAAGAAAAAAGAAAAAGGAGGACATCTTTTGGTTTCAACCCATGTCGATGAGCCAACGGAATTTTTTTATTGTTTGTTGATTCATTCGTATGATGCTGACCATGTTGTTGGGTAATAATAGCTCACTAAATTGGCGTGGTACCTTTCCTTTGCTTTCCTGGCATAAATTTGTAATAAGCCCCCCTAGTTGTTGATATTTGCATGATTAGGAAGTCGGTTGAAATAATTATGCTTGATGCACTAAAATTTCCTCTCCGGAAACACGTAATTAGAGTTGATATTTTTCACAACTCTATCTTAGTCAGATAATTTCTCAGTATAGAGGACACTACGTGCTAATCGGAGTCCAAGTCGATTTATTCTGATTCAGGTACTTGGTCGGCGTTTCGGGGGCGGTCGCGATTCACTCCTTCCTGCAACTGCTCATCTGCGTCTTGAGATTGCTCAGTAAATCATCAGTGATTCCCTCTAGGAACTACGCGTGGCTCATGTTTGCTGGAGATCAGGTGCTTGCGTACGCGCTGATGAGCGCCGGATCAGCCGCTTCCGGGGTCACCAACCTGAACCGCACGGGGATAAGGCACACGGTGCTCCCGAACTTCTGCAAGCCTCTCCACAGCTTCTGTGACCATGTCACGGTCTCGATCGCCTTCACTTTCTTCAGCTGCATCTTGCTCGCGACCTCGGTTGTCCTAGATGTCATCTGGCTAGCCAAATACTAACTTACTCATCAGCTCCACATATCCTCCTTCCTTAGTTAGTTAAAACAATAGCTAAAGTCATTTCGCGCGCCTTGTGACCGATCGAATCGGCCGAAGCCATCTTCGCTTGTGAAGCATATGTACTTCGTGTAGCTAGATCTCTTGGTAAATTTTATCGGTCTTGCTTGTTTCGTGTATGGGATGAAATTACAGTTATGGGTGATCGAGCATGTGTATACATAAGTGAATCTTCGTTATCATTGACCAGCACGTATTAGGTTGTAACTGAGGCACAGGGACAAGCTCTCTCAAAATGCGTCTTCTCCAGCCATTGACAGCAATATTAGGGATATAAAGATCATGCACAATTGCTTTACAAGAGAACAGGATAACCTAAGCATCGGATTTGCGCTAAGTGTCCATTAATCACTCAGCCAAAGAGAATCCTAGCTAAGTCACATTCTCTTACAAATTTATTAATCACAAGGCTCCATGCTGTGAAGCTTGAGTATGTCTTGATGAGGGAATCTCTAGTTTGATCAGGGAAGCAACTGTGTCTTGACGAGCTAGGGCATGTGCGATTGATCAACACATGTCTTGAGATTGTCGCACATCGAAGGCGGGCAAAGTAACTTAAAGTTGGCACGCGGTAATGCAACTGCGAAGCATTTGCCGAACGCCATACCCGGCAGCTGAAACATGTAACATCGCATCCACGACTATTTTTTCAGAAGCTGTCCCTAACTCACCCGAAAGCGAATCCGACAATTTAAAGGACCCGAAAAACAGTAGAGGCGCAGAGAGTTAACAATTGCCATTCTCTTCTTGAGACGCTCTGTTTCCAAAACTCAGGATCTCTCTCCAAGATGGTTCTTCTATTTCCCCCCTGGGAATTGGATCCCAACGGCTAGTTGCTCCACGGGTCAGTCGTCCACCGTTCGATCTCGTTGTCGGTGAGGAAGCCCTTGGACCTGCTTGGATCCAAAACCAATGGTTCAATCGCGACGACGAATGGGTCGGGCCCGACCCGACACAGTAGCCGCGTGGCAGTTTGGACCGCCATCGTGGGCCATGCTGGGCCCCGCGCGCCGTGCCCGTGGCCCACGAGCGGGCTTGGCACGACCTCCTCCTTGACTGACGAAGCTGACTCTGGCCACTCTCCCACGATTAACCGCCGCTAACCGCCACGTCCCCGCTCTCGCTTCCACGTTCGTCGGAAAGGGAAAAAAACCGAACCCGCTTATAAAAATCATCCCTCCTCTCCTTTCGCTATCGCTCCAAAAGGACGAAGCTCTGTGCGCGCGTTGCTCCTCTCGTTTGTCGTTCTTTCGCCCGGTTCGTGCTAGAGTCGTATGAAAATGGCGTTCTTTTGGGGGCTTTGTAACTGGGTCGTCGCTGTTTTCGCTGCTCTTGTTCTTGTTGGTGGAGCCTCCATGAAGGCGAAGGTCGAAGCCGCGAGGGTCTTCAGAGTGGGTGACGGTGAAGGTTGGCACGAACCTACAGAACTCAACTCCTCGCTTTACTCTGACTGGGCTACGAGGAACAGGTTCCGTGTTGGAGATTCTCTCAGTGAGTCTTTTTCTCTTCTTTCTCTTTTTCTGCTTTTCTTTTTCTCGATATCGTCTCTGATATATGCACTCGTTGATACACAATGACAATGTGTGGTTGTTGATCATGTGAGTGACCAACATAGGGGAAGATTCCCCTTACCAAAAAAAAAACATAGGGGAAGATTCCTAAACTATGTTTAGTTAAATGGAAGAGATTTGGTTATAGAAGAATCTGTGTGAATTTGCAGATGTTAGAGCTAGGGTTGTCAAAACTAATCCTAAATCTTGTTCATGCAAATTCGTTGATGAGCTTTCAAATATACGTACCATATTGGAGCAGGTCTTTAGCATTACCTGAAGGGATGGAAATTTTGTTCAATAGATCTCACTTGCTATTACTCGAAAAGGTGCAAACTTTAGTGTGAAATCCCGACAAATGGCTATGGCAACTTAGAGCTCCGGAAGAGAATGCTCGTCGCGCGCAAAGCATTTTTAGTCGAAAGTTTGTTTTTCCAGAGTCTATATCATAAAATGAGTGCACATGAGTAAGTATGGAGCTATTTCCTCAGAAGTTTGGTGGAGTTAGTACAGCTTTGTCGATTGACCGGTTTTTCATAATTTGAAGATTTCGAGTACAAGAATGACTCGGTTCTGGTGGTGGACAAATGGAGCTACTACCACTGCAACACAAGCAACCCTATCACGGCCTTCAACAACGGGAACAGCACATTCACTCTCGACAAGCCCGGTTTCTTTTACTTCATAAGCGGGGTGACCAATCACTGCAAGAACGGCCAGCGCTTGATCGTCGATGTGATGTCTCCTCACCGAAGCCCTCGCTACACTCCTCCTTCCATCGCCAACCCTCCGCAGGCCGGCATGGGCGGCCTCTCTCCATATGCTTCCCCACTCTCAAGTGCTTCCTCAGGAGCAGCAAAAGGGACCTCATCAGTTGCGGTTGCGGTTCTTATGAGTCCATTGGCTGTGGCTTCTTTTGCAGCCATGATGCATTTTTATTATTAGCGTCGGGAGGATTTGGTGTTTAGGCGACTTAAGTAGTTGATTATTTTATTTCCACCCGTCATTTTGTCATGGTTGTTTAATTTTTATTGCTCTAATTTGTTGAATTTGGTTGATCTGTTGGGTATTCAGGGTTATGTTTGTTTGATGAGCATTTGTATCTGATTCTACAAATTTGAGACATATTTGGAGGTTGCCGACCATTCTAACTTATGTTATGTTGCTACGCCTCAATTAATTTACAATGTATAAGTCTTGACTTGACGCTGCCTAAACCCAAGAGGTCGTTATGTTACAAACATGTGCCGCAGTTTAGTTATTTTGGGATTCGAAGGAACATGTACTACGTGCTCATAAAAGATGACGAGAAGGTGAGGACTGCTTAATTAATCCAATCTAACTATTAAGAGAAGTTGTATGCCTTCCTGTGAATTGGCCGTCGAGATCCGACGAGCCACGCCGTACCATTTTAGCGTTCCTTTGAAAGTTTTTAACTAAGGCTGTCGAAAGTTTGGTTTGGGTTTCTGTGATACCCTAACATGTATTTTACCAACTTTTATTTGGTTAAATTATCAACTAGTTTTGTGTTACCAACTCTTATACGAGTTTGTTGATACCTAAATTTTGACGACCCGGTTAGTCGTTCGTTGCATAAAAATTAGGGATCGATCCCGATCCCTAGAAAAAATATTAGTTAAATTGCATATAGATTAGGAGCATTTGCATTAGTAATTAGGCTCGTATAGTTGCATTTGCATTGGACCGGCGAGGTATGGACTTAAGTGAATGGTTTTGAGCTTAATTGATTAGACTCAGCCCAAAAGATTAAATGTTTGTCCAAGTCCATTGAATACATTTATGACCGAAATTTGCATTATAGAGCAAATTGGGATAATTGAATTATCGAATTATTAAATAATATACTTGGAAGATAATTCATATTATCTTGTGAATGTTCAGCTAGAGGAAATAATCAGAAAATTGCCTAAGTTGAGTATCAGAATTAAGAAATAATATATCTTGGCTCTTGTAAGATAACCGTGACTAATTCTTATAAATAGATGTGTTAGGGTTCGCAATAGGAGGAGGCCACAAAAATTGAAATACACGGCCACAATCGAGAGACACGAAAAAGAGAGAGTGAGAAGAGAGGCTCCGTGGCTGAGCGTCCCTCTACCGCCGCGACTACCCCTCTCGGGTACGACCTTGGCCGCCTCACCATCGTCATCTGCTGCCCATCGAAGCCACCTACTCCTCGACGACGACAAAGCAATCACCGTGGAAGTCGCTGCCGTACCGATGACGACCTGCTGATCCGTGGCCGAGAGGGTCATGTACCGTGAGTCCCTGCGCCAACGACGAAGCAACCACGCCTTGCACGAAGCCGTTGCAACACTGCTCTGGGAACGGAGGATTCGGAAAAAGAAAATAAGAAAAGGAAAGTGGCCAAGACACATCCACGTTCATTCACTATCGCGTTCGTTGGGACCTCACAGCCGCTCCTTTGCTGCCACGTTCACACGGATCAATCGAGAGCCACGCCATTGTAAAGCCCACCGCGAGCACCACACCGTGAAGCACCGCGTCCCATCCGCCATCTGTCGTTCAAATTCGGAAACGTCATCCGTGAAATATTTTGAATTAGGTAATATATTATCTGATTAAATTTCAATATATTAAGTTGCCTAATTTGAATTTATTGTGATCTTAATTAGATGTCATGTCGATATTCTCATATCCATAAATATTTTCGAAATCCATGAATTAGGAATTATTTCCTAATTTCATAACATGTTATGGTTGCCAATTCGATCTCATGCCCGAGATATGATTCGCGATTGTACGGAAAATCGTCAATCCGATCTCCCGCCCGAGATACGATTCGCGATTGCGTTGAAAATTGGCCAATCCGATCCTCATGCCCGAGATGTGATTTGTCAATTTATTTTCCAAATTTGAATGGATATGGATGGGCAAAAGTACACTATAAGTGCCATAACTTGTGTACGGCGATCACTTTGGTGCCATAACTTTTTTTCGGATCACTTTGGTGCCAACTTTTTTGAAAATCGATCACTTTAGTGCCAAAGCTGACATGGCACGCCGGAAATCTGATGTGGCTCTTTTTTATTAATATTCGATGCTGAGATGGCTGGCCGGAGCAGGCCGGAGAGTCTAGTAAGCCCTTATAGCGAAAACGACGTCGTTCAACCTTTCTCCCCCAAATATAGGAACCCTAAATCGGCTAATTGGACATATTCCCCAATTGCAAACCCTAACCGGCCATATTATTTCCTTGTTTTCCCGAAATTGACAGCCAAAGGTTACAAATGGATGGCAGGAGCTTCACTAGCGGCTCAAATTCGTTTGAACGAAGTGAAGAAGAAGGTCGGTTCTTCTGCTATTGTGGATTACTGAGTCCAAGAAGAACATCTTGGACTCGATTGAACCCCGGGAGAAGATTCCATGGATGCGCCAGGTATAGAGAAGGCTCGAAGTGCAAATTCTTCAAGTGGGTTGATGCGAAATTTTCAGATCGAGCAACAGAGGTGATAGTGAAGCTACTTGAAGCTCGACATCAACCTCCACCTGCATTAATGGACGAGTTGGACGATGTCGACTCATTGCAAGCTGAAATGAAGGTTTTAGCATCTCTGGCCAACCATTTGAAGAAGGAAGTTCGAAGGATGAAAATCGAAAGAAAGTGTTATCGATTGTTAATTGTGTTATTGATATTTTTCATAGCCTATTTTATGGTCAAATGTAATGTCAGTTATGAGCAAAAGTTTCTTAGTCTACCATAATTTAAGATAGGCTTGTACTATGTACGTGTATTTGCAATTTGTAGTTACGGTTGTGTTATTAGTTTGCTGCAATTTTTGTATGTAACAAGAGGTTTGCTGCAATCTATGACAAATGGAAGGTTGGAATTTATTGGTTCTCAATGTTGAGTTGCTTAGTATTTTGTTGATGCATATTTTGATGCAGTTTTGCCTCATTGGCAGCATATTTATTGCATATTTTTGCTCATTTGCTGTCTTTTGCTGTACTTCCTCATTTGCAGCATATTTTGCTGCATATTTTTGCTCATTTGCTGTCATTTGCTGCACTACCTCATTTGCAGCATATTTTTGCTCATTTGCTGTCATTTGCTACACTTTCTCATTTGCAGCATATTTTACTGCATATTTTTGCTCATTTACTGTCATTTGCTGCACTTCCTCATTTGAAATAAAAGAGAAAAGGTACCGAAAGGACATTAGAGTAATCTAGTGTAACCAAGTCCCCGAATCCATAATCTATGGTTCGTAGGAGTTTTTAATTCTCCCAATACTTTACTTGGGTTTCTAATCGACCCACCAAAAAATAGATTAGTGGCGACTCCTGATTGAAATGATCTTGCATGTTAAGAACTTGAACCTAAATTGCGAATTGGTATGGGCTTGGGAAAGCCCGAGCTAGGTTTAGGCTTAGTAATCCATTAGCCGAACGCCTAGGTGGTGCACCGCGGGAGGTTAGGTCGCGACAGAGTTATTTATCAATGTTTGATTTTTTTTAATTTACCAATTATTTTATCGAGTTACCTCTTTTTATTTACCTTTGTTACTACAAATTCATTACATTTACTAACTCGTTTGAAAGATTACTAACTTCAATTAGTGTGACTCACCGACTAATTGGTAACTTAATTGGATTTTTGTAAAAGTTTCTAATATATATAAGAGATTTTTATTTTCGGAAATAAGAGAAGTTGGAAATTTAAAAAAATCAAATAAATGTTGGTAACCAGGACAAAAAAGAGTTAGTAAAGCAAAACTAGTGGGAAACTTAATCGAAGAAAAAAATTAGTAATCACTATAATCAAGATTGGTATTTCAAAAAGGGAATTGGTCAATATAATTGGTTGATAAGCAAGACAAATAAATGTTGGTAACTCAATATAAAATTAGATAAATTATAAGAAAATAAATAAACATTGGTAAGCAACTCAAATAAGAGTTGATAAACGAAAACAAATTGGTAACATAGTAGGAGAAAAGCTAGTGAACTTCACAAATAAAGGTTGGTAAATTTATACGAGAATTGATAAATTTAAGATGTTTATACAAATAACAGATAAAAGTTGGTAAAAGAGATAAAAACTTGATAATACAATAATAAAAATCCCGAATAAATGTTGGTAACTCAAGACTAATTTGTAATTTAATTAGAAAAAGTTGGTAGATCACTCAAATAAAAATTGGTAAATTCCTATAAGAATTGATAAATTTAAGACGTTATTAAGGAATATAAATGAAAATTTTATAAAAGATATGAAAAGTTGATGATTTGCACACTGTCGAAAGAATTGGTAATTTCATGAAACCGTGTATAAGGTACAAACAAGTCACCGAGAAATCTGGTAACCGGCAATTTTTTAAGCGATAATTTTTTTGACAAATACCAACTCTATCAGAAACCCACCAGCATGGGAAAAAAAAAAATCCGTTGTTCGGTCGGAACCATATAAAGAATCGTCCTAATATTTTTGTATCTCTTTTGTTCATAACATTTAGCCATAAGATATAAACCGGGTGGGTTTGGGTGGCTTTTGCTGTTCATATATTTAGTCAGGATGGATGCAGTTTGCTGCTAATCAGGTGAGATGGGTTGGGGGAGATATTCTCGAACTTTATATGGTGCACGTCTCGTACGAGTTATCAGTCTCAAGGCCACCTCCAAAGTCGTACGCTGATAAAACATCTGCTGAAATTTGTGGTTTTGACTTTAGGGTTCAAGTCCTGACAAGTTGGTTACGATGATCTCATTTTAATCACGAAACTGGATAAGCATTAAGCACAAGCACAACATCGTCGGTTCAAGGTTCCATCGAGTCATTTTCTGCGGCTGACTTGAGTGTGAAGCTTTGATGAGATTGTGAAACTGGATAAGCCTGTGAAATCCCAGCAATGCAGGGCATTGCTCTTGCAGCTGTACTGTCCCCCCCATGTCGGACTCTTGTGGGAAGACGAATCACTTGTTACTTTCATGATTTGACATAGTTTGACGTGTGGATTGGGATTTCTTTCTTATTATTGACAGATATATGAAACAACGTGATATTACCTGTATTTCTAGATTCTTAAAAGTTTTATCGTCTCGTGACTATTCGCGAGTGATATTTATTCGAGGCGTGCAGGTTCCGAGGTGGTAAGGGTCTT